ATTGATCTTAGCCAAACACACTCTCTACTGGCTTCATGAATTGCTATTATTTCTGCATGATTTGAAGATGTGGCGGTTAATGTTTGTTTAGTAGATCTCCAAGATACCACTGTACCGCCACAAGTAAACATATAGCCAGTCTGAGACTTGGCTTTATACGGGTCAGAAAGATACCCAGCATCTGCATATCCAATCAATTCATGTTGAGATCCTTTTTGATATAATAGACCAATATCAATAGATCCTTGGAGATAACGGAAAATATGTTTGATTCCTTTCCAATGTCGTTGTGTTGGCATCGCACTAAATCTGGCCAATAAATTTATAGCAAATGCTATATCTGGTCTGGTACTATTAGCCAGATACATTAGTGCACCAATAGCACTTAAATATGGTACTTCAGGACCAAGTGCTTCTTCATTCTCCTCTTTTGGTCTAAAAGGATCTTTAATAGGATCGAGAGTTCTAACGACCATTGGAGTATTCAATGAATGTGCTTTATCCATTGCAAATCGTTTCAATACCTTTTGGGTGTATATACAGATTGATGTATCAAAATCCCATTTTCCAAATGTTCAATTTTTAGACCAAGACAAAATTTCGTTCTCCCGAAATCTTTAATTTCAAACTCCCTTTTCAAATATTCAATAGCTTCTTGGACCTCTCCAGGAGTTCCAATTAAATTCAAGTCATCCACATAGACAACTATTATTACAAAATTTCTCTCATTTTTCTTTATAAAACACATGGACAAATAGAATCATTGGCATATCCTTCTTTTAATAATGATTCATTGAGACGATTATACCACATGCGACCAGATTGTTTGAGCCCATACGAAGACTTTTGTAATTTAATAGAATAACATTCTTTTGGCTTTGATTTATATGCATCAGGCATACTAAATCCTTCAGGGATTTTCATATAAATATCACTATCCAATGAGTCATATAAATATGCAGTTACAACGTCCATCAGACGCATATCCAAATTTTCATGTACTGCAAAACTGACAAGATATCGAAATGTTATTCCATCCATTACTGGAGAATATGTTTCATTAAAATCAACTCCAGGTTTTTGTGAAAAACCTTGGGCAACAAGTCTTGCTTTATATATGACAATTTCATTATTCTCATTTCTCTTTCGAACAAATACCCATTTATAGCCAACAGGCTTAACACCTTCAGGTGTTTGAACAATGGGTCCAAAAACTTTTCGTTTTGCGAGTGAATTTAATTCAGACTGGATCGCATCTTTCTATTTTGGCCAATCTATTCTTTTCCGACATTCATCAACTGATCTAGGTTCTGGATCCTCGTCATTTTCCATTAGATCAAGTGCTATATTATATGCAAAAGCATTATCCATAATTGTATCACTTTGGTTCCAATGCTTTCCAGTAGTAATATAATTTATTGAATTTTCAATAATTTCATTCTCTTCAGAAGAAATTCTATTATGATTAACATCCTCATCAAGTTTATCAGGATCAATTTCTCTAGAAATCTGATCCATGTTACTACTTGTTTCTTGAGGATTCAAATCCTCAATCCTTTCATTTGTTCTTCTTTTCTTTCGAAGTTTTTTATCTTTGGAACCTACAGGTCTGCCACGCTTTAGCCGTGCATTTGATTCATTAGCATTTTGTATTTTGTCTTTAGGAATAACAATTTACCAGGTACATTTTCAGCAGCTATATAAAATCTAGTGACCCTGCTGGCGTCGCAAAAAGCATCATGCAACTGATTTGCTATTCGCTGCAAATGTAAAATTCTTTGTACCTCTAATTCACTTTGACTTGTACGAGGATCAAGAAAACTGAATAGTATTTTCCAAGTAATTTCCTTTTTCAGTTAATCAGTTTCTTCCCTAATATCGGAAAATGCAACTCGTCAAAATGACAATCAGCAAAACGAGCCGTAAATGAATCACCAGTTAATGGTTCAAGATATTTAATGATAGATGGTGATTTGTACCCGACATATATCCCCAATCTCCGTTGGGGGCCCATTTCTGTACGTTGGGGCGGTGCAATTGGCACAAAAACTGCGCACCCAAAAGTCCTTAAATGTGAAATATTGGGTTTTTCATTGTACACTAATTGTATTGGGGAGTAGCTATGATAGTTTGTCGGTCTTAATATTATCAATGTTGTTGCATGCATAATTGCATATCCCCAAGCAGAGACGGGAAGTTTGGATTTCATCAACATAGGTCTTGCAATTAATTGTAGCCTTTTTATAAGTAATTCAACTAGACCATTTTGAGTATGTACATGAGGTACAGGATTTTCAATTTCAATTCCAATAGACATGCAATAATCGTCAAATGTCTTAGATGAAAATTCACCAGTATTATCAAAACGAATTTTCTTTATTGGGTGATTTGGAAACTGAGCTCGTAATTTAATTATTTGAGCAAGCAACCTCGCAAATGCCAAATTACGGGTGGATAATAAACACACATGCGACCATCTAGTAGATGCATCGATAAGTACCATAAAATATCGAAATGGTCCGCATGGTGGATCTACAGGCCCACATATATCACCCTGAATTCGTTCTAAAAATGAAGGGGATTTAATTCCCACTTTTTCCGGTGATGGTCTAGTTATTAACTTCCCTTTTGAGCAAACAACACATATAAACTCATTTGTATTTAATATCCTTTGATCTTTCAAGTTATGGCCATTGGTATTTTCAATAATTCGTCTCATCATAGTATTACCGGGATGCCCAAACAGGTCATTCCAAATCATAAAATCTGTAGACTTCTGGTCTACCAGATATATTTAAACCACATTAATCTTTGTGCAATATAATCCGGAAGACAATGAAGACAATTTTTCTAATATATATTTATGTTCATCAATGAATTTTGTAATCAACAAAAATTCATTATTTGTCTCACTTGATGTCTCAATATGATATCCATTTATGTAAATATCATTAAAACTTAACAAATTTCTTTGAGATTTACTAGAATATAGTGCATTTTGGATATCAAATTTTACTCATTCGGGGAGAAACATTATCGCTCTTCCAGAGCCTTCAATTAACTTCGCAGAACCACTTATGGTATTCACCTCAATTTTTCCCAACTTCAGGTTGGTGAAATATTTCTTATATTTCAAAATAGTGTGCGTTGATACACTATCAATGAGACATGAATTTTCTTCCATATTATTCATTATAACGTGCTCAGCATTCATATTTCTTCTTCTGAGAGAAATATAAGAATAAATATATCAAAAATTTGGAGAAAATACATAGCTGTCATATCATTACAAAATATAGGGAGCAAAAATTATATGTGTTACAAAAATATCTACACATATCTATATGCATTTATATCGCATTTCCGGGATTTTCATAGTATCCACCTTCAGGGTGTACTAGAAAATCAGATACATCTAGCTGCGTATTATCATTACATTTATCACCCCCACTTCCACTGGCAACGTTCTCTGAAAAATTAATTTATGGGGATTGACATTTTCCGGTGCTTTAACTTCTTCCGGCACTTTATCTTTCTGTTTCAGGGAATTTTGGTACAGCTCAACGAAATAAGAATTGGAACGACAATTTCTGAACCAATGTCCTGTCATTCCGCAGCGATAACACTTGTCCTCGCTTTTCTTTGAACTCTGACCAACATCATTCTGAAGCCGGTTCATAGGCCTATTTGATTCCTGCTCATCAAAATATCCCTGACGGTAATAATACAAAACAAACCTGCCACGACCTCGTCCATGGTCGGCTCCACGTCCACGACCAAATTCACGTCCACGACTAAATCCACGTCCACTGCCTTGTCCGCGACCTCGTCCGCGGTAGAATCTAGGCATATTATTTAAACACTGAGTCGCATTCACTTCCAGGAATGGACTTGCACCAATTGGCCTCGATTCGTGATTTTTTAATAATAATTCATTATTCTGTTCAGCAACAAGTAGACAAGTAATAAGATCACAATATTTATTAAAATCCCTTTCTCGATATTGTTGCTGTAAAACTATATTAGAGGCATGAAACGTGGTAAATTTTTTTTCCAACATATCCCTATCATAAATATTTTCTCCACAAAATCATAACTGGGACGTAATTTTGAACATCATAGAATTATAATCAGCAACTGTTTTAAAATCTTGCAAACGCAAGTGTTGCCATGCATGTTTCGCTTTCGGTAATATAAAAGATTTCATGTGTCCAAACCGATCTTTCAAATTTGTCAATAATTCAAATGGATCTTTCACCATTAACTATTCCATTTTCAGGGCTTCGTCAATATGATGACGTAAGAAAATCATTGTCTTTGCACGTTATTGATTTGTGTATTCATTTTCACTAATTATTGTTTTCGAAAGCCCCATGGATTCGAGGTGCATCTCGACATTCATTACCCACGGCATATAATTATTTCCGGTAATTGTCAGTGGGGGAAATTCAAACTTTGCCATATTCTATTAAAAGAAAATAAATACTTACCAGAAATTCCGCAACCTTCCGCGTAACACAACAACAAAAACAACCAAAAAATTACACTATCTTTTATGTGCACTTCCTCGGCAAAACCTCGTGCTCATAACGTGTTACATAATATATAACAAAATATAAAAATACTATTACTAATAATAATATAGATATTGTAATATATATAGATTTGTAATAAAGTATGTATATATATAATAGAGAGAGGGAGAGTATATAATAGAGAGAGAGGGAGAGTTAATGAAAGAGGTGGGGTGGAGACGGGAGAGAGAGAGTAAAAAGTGGTATCATTTTTCATTTCTTATTACATATTTATAGCCATATTACATTGATATTAGTCATTATAATTGATGACTTGTCAACATAATACATACAAATAAATAAATATGAATCATAGCAAAGTATGTATTTTAATCAATTTTTATTAAAATTTACTATTTAAATTTTATATTTTTTTAATAAAATATTTAATTAAAAATTATTTTAATAACAAACTCGTATTAAATTTTCCCAACTCAAACTCAACCAAACAAAAGAAACACACCACCCCAGATACTTCCAGTAGCGACGAGACTGACTGCCGTCGATTAAGAAACAAGGTTGGAAGAAGAGAATTACGAATTACCTCCTCGATCGAAGGCCATGTTTTTCTTCTTTGTTGGAGGAGTGGAGCAGCAAGCAAGGCAGGTCCTCAAGAGCGGCATAGGGAAGTGCATATCGTGCGGATCGCCCGCCGATCTCGTCGAGTACGATAAAGTTCTCAAGCTGTTCTTCGTGCCGGTGTGGCGCTGGCCGGGAAAACACCCTCTGATGCACTGTAAGGATTGCAGGATTTTTTTCCCGCCCTCGCTGGACAAGGCGGCGGCAGTGGACGCAGCATTGAGGTGTCAGTTCTGCGATCGCAAGGTGGATCCCTCCTTTAGATTCTGCCCCTTCTGCGGCTCCGCCCTGTGAGTGAATCTGAGGTCAGGTGCTTTCGTTTGTGCGTACTAGTTAGGGTTTTATTTTTGTTAATTTGGGTATCTAATAGAGTTGAGTTGATGTTGAACAGAAGCAATAAATAGAGAAAATTATTACTGTCTACACTGGCGTTTTATTGTGTTTGGCTCTTTTATTTCGTTCCAATCACATCCTCCATAGGAAAACAAAATAGTTCAATTATTGCACGTTCAACATAGAATTGTGATCAAAGAACATCCATATCCATATATGAATTGCTCTGACCTAGAAAGAATTGTGTTTCTACCACTAATCTGGAGTGTTCCCTAGTTCTATCACGCTCTTGCTTCTTGAGAATATCCTCCCAAAACTGCTCAAGTTCTTGGCAGCAGTTGTATGGCTGGTTGATAGTGCTGATGGAGGTGGGATTCGAGACGACGACGAATCCCTATTCTCCAGCTGCCTATAGTTCTCAATTGACAATTTTAACTGAGCCAAATCGTATGTTGGTACAATGAATTCTCCACCATTGCCTGAAGGCAATGCTCCTTCAGAGGGGCCTGGAATGTTTGAAGTGTCAATTAGAAAATCTTCCAATGCTGCAAGAGATTGAAGCTGCCGTCCGAGAGATGCAATCGTTTTCTGGCACTCGGCGAGCTTGTCTGATGCTACAGCTAAATCCTCCTGTGGTAAACAAGAAACAGACAACGGCAGTTCATTCCAGGTATGTAGCTAGTAAGTAACAGATGAAAGAGATGAAAATCTAAGTCGATCTGATGATAACCTGCTTTAATCTTGTTTCACCATTTGACGATTTATTTAGCTCGACTTCTTTTTCCTGGATTGTGATTGTTAGTTCTCTTTCTAATTCCTCGCACTTTGCAGCTAGTTCAGATGATAGCTTCCTTTCATCTTCTATTTCTGCTTTTAACGAATTGATGTTGGAAGACATTGCGCTTGCCTCTGTTTCCATGGCGACAAGCTGCGATTCGAGTAACACTTTTGTTTCATTTAATGCAGCTAAATCTTTCTGTAGCTCTTCCAACGTAGTTTCCGTTTCAGCAACTCTGCTCTGTGCCGTTTTCAGGTGATCAACACTCTCATCTAAAGCATTTTGAAGCCTTAATTTCTCTGCCTCCAACTTTGTCGCCTTGTCTCCCAATTCCGCTACTTGTTGTGCCATGGAGTTTAGCTCATCTTTGAATACATTGTCATCCTGAACACATTCTCCAGAAGCCAACTCTGATGCAGAAAATGAAATAATATTATTAGTCTCCGACAATCCAGCAAGACGCTCCATCTCAAGAAAATCATCCATCATGTCGATTTCAAGGCAGCAAGCTGAAAGATTCTTCGTTGGTTCATATCCATTTGCTCCTGTTTTAACAGTCTCTTCAGTATCCAAGTCTATGGATTTCTGCCTACTGCCGCACTCTGATAAACCGTCTGTTACAGCACAGGAGGAGGAAGCAGCCGCAAACTTGTGATTGCTGTCTGCTGTGGATGATCTTCGAACCATTGATCGAAGCATTCTGCACTCTGTCTGAAGCTTAGCAACCTTCTTTATGCTCGCCAACTGCAACTTGCTTGCTGTTTCTGCTGCTTCAGTGCTTAAATCTCTCTCAATGGCAATAACTTCCAGCTGTTTATGACGGGACATGAGTTCTTGCCGGAGGGATGTGTTCTCTTTCTCTAGAGCCTCAATCACTAACAGAGTATCAGGATCAATGGCAGCGGAATTTTCAGCTCTGGAAACTTCGACTTGAGCCTGGAGATGAAGGATTTGCTTCTCGAGCTGAATCTTTTGGGACTCCCAATCGCCGTTCTTCTCTGGCGTAGCATCATCCCTTGCTTGTCTCAGCTGTCTTACACATTCCCTGAGAGCACTCTCGAGATGGCTGGCTCTCACTTCCAGGCTTAAATTGTGCTGCACCGCAACATCAAGCTGCTGCTTAAGCGCAGCCACTTCATTTTCAGTCTTCTCCCACCCTGAGAAAGATACAAAGGATTTGTTACAAGCTCGGATATTGGCATCAAGTATAAACTCTCATTGCCTGCTTCGGTTACCAGCAACAGCTTCTTCAGCAACTCTGGTGTGCTGCTTGACGAGCTCTTCATTGGCAGAGATGTTTACCAGTGCAGCGGATAGCTTTTCCGTTAGAGTCTTGATGATAGTTTCCTCCATTTCGCTGCCATCGGTTTTAGGGATCGAGATCACTTGAGGAGATTGTCTCAATCCTTCCTGCTCAGGAACAATGTGCAAGGTTACATATAATTATATAAATTGCCCCAACATTAATGTAGATGAACATTTATTAACCTGTTGCTCGTCAGAATGTGAAAAGGATGATCCATTGCTTTCGCTTTCGCTTTCACTGGGACTTATCTCAGAAGATTTCCTTTTCCACAACCATTTCCTCTTATCCATTCATTCACTTCCCAATTAAATTCCTGACAGCCTAATAAATCTCGGTATCATTAGTAAGAAAATTCAGGAAATGTTACTGTAAAAAAGCCAACTCATCTAGACTAATAAAGGGTTAATGATAGATAGATCCAGTTTCTCCATCCTCCAATACCATAGTTACTGCCCACGTTGAATTGCTTCGATCTTACATTACAATTTAACCTATTAACTTCATTTCAACGATAAATTAAATACTAAAGACCTCGAGAGGCAATGCAAGTGAAAACCAGAAAAGTTTCAGACAGACAATCACAACTAAATAAGGTTTTTGAACGAGAGAAGCACAGAATTCATAGCGACGAACACAAGCGGCATTACGTCACCTGGACTGAAGAAGAGCGAAAGATCCAAGCTTGGATCCACCAGTCAACACCAATCGAAACCTCAATTAATTTCCAAATGGCAGGCCATTCAGTGTTGCTCTGGTTTGTGGTCGGTCTACATATCTTGCCCAATAAATAATGAATCTTTTGGCGAGGAGGATCTGAAGTCTGTATAATGAAAATTTCAGAAAAGTCAGGATATGAACTAGGACTGAACTACTACTACTGCTGCTGCTGCTGCTTCTTGTATCTAATAATATATTATTCCTGCAGGAAGGAAGGGAAGAGCATTTCTTGACCAAAAATGTTGTCTTTTTCCTTTTTCTATTATTCCCTGGGACCAGAGCATGTGATGTGACAATGTGTATCCCGAAAGCCAATGAAATGAAACCACTTTTCAGCCAATGTGGATGTGGTCTACTAACTAACTTATTTGAAGCTAATAAATAAATAAATAAAACAATTCACCTTCACTGTGCCTCCATCCTCCATTTATTTCCCACACGCACTGTTGTGTTAATCTATCTGTCCATGAATTGGGCCAGAGATCACTCACTCACAGGCACAGCAGCCCATTGGTGGAAGAAAATGATCCACAGCCATTAAAAAGCACAACACAACAGACAAGGCCTGGCCTGGCCTGGACAGGACAGGTGTGCCATCCTCCTCAAGCTCTGCCTCTGGAACACACTAGAAGAAAGATGGACAGTCAGACAGTAGAGGATAATGTATACTAAGTGCAGATGCAGCCATCGTGGATGCTCTTTCAGCCATCGACAATTCCCGCTGTGTGATCCACAAAATCTTGAACCTTAAAAAAATCATTCATATATGCTTTTACTGATCATCTCTTTCATCGCTCTCTCTCCATTCACATTCACAGATTTCTTCTTCTTAGGTAGGTCAGGTCACTGCTTTGCTGGTGCAGCCGGCCGGACATGGCTCAAGCAATGCTGCTGAATGCAAATGTGTCTAGAGCCGAGCCATTGATTACAACACTTAAGCCAAAGTCCTTTTACCATTCTGTTTTGCCCTCAAGATATCTTAATTTTCTTTCTCTTTCTAGATCATCAGCCACAAGTGTTGTTGCTCTCTTCAAGACCAAAACTAAGGCTCCTGTTAAGGTCTGTACCTGATCTGATTCAGTTTCCATTTTGCCTTTGCTGTTGATTGATTTGGGGATTGTTAATCTGCAGGGTGCTGCGGTGAAGGAGAAGGCTAAAGTTGAAGACGGTATTTTTGGCACTTCTGGTGGCATTGGATTTACTAAGCAAAATGAGCTCTTCGTTGGCCGTGTCGCCATGATTGGATTTGCAGTAACCTCTCTTTCTCTCTGCTCCCTAACTGTATATATATACATATATTATGTAATAATCATCCAAGGAAGGGAATCAATTGAAGTTTCGCAATGGAAATAAAGAAGCAAGTGGTTAGGTTGGGTAGAGAAACTTACAGGAACATGTGGTGTGCGTGCAGGCATCGCTGCTGGGAGAAGCGATTACAGGGAAAGGAATTCTGGCGCAATTGAATCTCGAGACTGGAATTCCGATCTACGAAGCGGAGCCTCTTCTTCTGTTCTTCATCCTCTTCAACCTTCTAGGAGCAATCGGAGCACTCGGCGACCGCGGCCGCTTCGTCGACGACGACGACGCCGCGGCCACCGGACTGGAAAAGGCAGTTATACCTCCCGGGAAGGGATTCCGAGCTGCGCTAGGGCTCGGGAAAGGTACCAATTCCACCACACGAACGGCTTAATTAATTAATTTCTGGTTAATTTAATCAAGTTCCATTGACATGGCTTCCTTCAATACAGGGCCGTTGTTCGGTTTCACGAAAGCAAACGAACTGTTCGTGGGAAGATTGGCTCAATTAGGGATTGCCTTCTCGATAATTGGGGAGATCATCACCGGTAAAGGAGCTCTTGCGCAGCTGAATATCGAGACTGGAGTCCCGATTAACGAGATCGAGCCTCTATTACTGTTCAACGTAGCCTTCTTCTTCATTGCCGCCATTAATCCTGGAACTGGAAAGTTCGTCACTGATGAGGAAGAAGCTTGATGCGTTAGTGCAGTGCCTGCCATTTGTCTACCTGCAATCATTAATAGAATTTATAATTGAATTCCAGTCAACGTGATCAGCCATTTATTCCTAATCCAAACCCTACCTTTTCTCGATCGATCGAACACTTCATTACATTCCATGAATAAATGAGCAAACAAACAAACACTTCGTCACAATTAATGCCCAAGTTCTCAGGAACTTGCCGAATGATCAATCACAAACTACATTCCATGAATAAACGACCAAACCTTTTATCACAATTAATGCCCAAAATTTCAGGAACTTGTCGAATGATCGATCAATCACAAACTACATTCCATATTCCATTTCAGTACTCACCAGAATTCATCGGGTGTGGGGTGAGTGTGGAATCGTGATCTAGGTACAGCAGTATTCATGAATCGACACGTGGCGGAAGATGGGCCCAGAGTATCGCATGAATTCCCTGTACTTTCAAATATTGCACGAGGAGCCACAGAAAAACTTGTAAATATAAACAAGACCACAACAGAATGGCACACTGATGAATTATGAATAAATAGATGATGTCTGAATATTAGTTGCTCCATTTTGAAATGTACCTTGAGCACCACAACATTTTAAGTCCTTTGAAGACATTGTATGTTGAGGTTGTCTAATATATTGAGGAATAAGCATTAGCTCCAAGTATTGACACAATCTATTCATTCAAATTGTTTATATGTTTCTAATTTATACAATATCTATTTTGACAAAAAGTATCATGCTAAATTAACTTTTTCATATTGAAATAAAATGATTGTGTCCATAATAATATACTAATTAAAGAATACATATAGCTTAAAAGAATTTTGATTTCAAAGGAAAAAAAAATAAAAGGACAGATAATACAATGCAAATAATAAAAGACAATTTGCAATAAGAATGTAATCTTTATACGTTGTTTTGCAACCTTTTTTTTTTTTTTTGTTAAAAAAAAAAAACATCCAGAAACCAGTTCAACCACATAAATAATAATAACTTTTTGAGTATAAAATCAATGTATGAGATTATTAGATTTGATTGTCTTAGAAAAATTAATTTTGACAAAAAAAATAAAAATAAAAATATACAAATAAACAAAGTCAGAAGGACTTATGTAATTGACACTAAGGTTTTAAGTAGATAATAATAATGTTATAACTTGACCACCAATTGACTAGACTAGTTGAGCTATTACGATGAACCTTTCGCAATATTTTTTAAATTTAAAATATATATTCGACCGCTGAAAACATATTAGAGTTGAATGTTTTGTAAAATTTAATTATGAAAAATAAAAAAAAATTTCTTAAACGAATTCGAACTATTGTGTTTGTGTGACGAGATTTAAATAAATAGTTTAGAACAAAAAAAAAAAAAAAAATTATATTGGATTATATTATTTTAAATCGTCATCTCCAAGAAGACCAAAAGTCAACGAACCACTAGACATATTGGGCCGATGAGACAATTCTAAACAATACTTTAGCTTTACGGCTTACATTTATATTTTTTTATTGGATTCAACGGATACAAATAAATTATCAAATTTAATTTTTAGCCCAAAAATAAATCGATAATAGGTCCATTTGATCCAATATAAAAAGTCCTAGAGTCTTCATAGTATCGAATGGATAAATTTTTCCGACATAACTTTTTATACCGTTGAATTAGGTGACTTTACATTAAATATAAAATAAATTTATTATACGTAATAAACCAAAAGGTATTCAATTATAATAATTACTTTTCCATGAATTATGAATATTTAGTCAGTCAACATGAAAAAGGACTGATAATTTTGAAAATGCATTCTTAAAATCTGATTTGAAATGGAAATAACAATAATTACGTATATTTAATTGTTGATTAAGTGAGATAAAATTTCATAAAAATATCAGTAGGGGAGAAGAAATGATAGATAAGAAATTTAGGGACTAAGGTGCAAATACAGCGCAGTCCCAGCTGTCTGTAATAAATAAAATTGGAAAAAGAATAAATAGAGGAAAAGGGCAAAAGAGCAAAGTACTCTTTCTCTCTCTACCCTCTCTCTCTGCAAGGCAGCGGAAGTCACGACAACCCTTCCATTCTCGCCTCTCTCTCTCTCTCTCTCTCTCTCTCTCTCTCTCACACACACAACACACACTGCGAAATCTCAGCTCTCCACCTCACCAGTCTCAGAGACCACAAATCTCTGCCCGTTCCCTTAAACCTCAAGCCCCGCCATAAATCTTTCTTGATTTTTACATTCAGCAATGCCGGCGTCCTCATCTGGTAAATCTGACTAAACCCCTAATTTTACCTTGTACTTATTTGCCATGGGGCGCCCTGATTTGTGTATGCGCAGTATGAGATTGATGAGTTGTCTTATCTGCTGATTCTGGATTTTGTGTTGTGTTGAAGTGGTGAAGGGTTTTTATTTTGTTTTTTTGGGGAAAATAGCCGTACTTGCCCGCCAGTTTGTGGAATTGAATTAGTGGTATTGGTTTAGCATGTGCGTGTTCTGTGGTTGCTGCCTTTTTGTGAAATTAAATACTAAGGGAACTTGATTTCTTGTTTTGTTTTGCGATGGAGTATCTGGCGATTCTGATTCTGTGTTTTCCGCGATTTGTAATGTATCTGGCGTTTTTTTAGATTCCGCTTGTCACTTGTGTTTACGTGGTGAAACATGTGGCTTATGGGGCTTTTGCTAATATAGAAAATGACGATTTATATTTATGGATCTGGAGTGTGAAGTGTACGTTAGTTGAAACGATTAATGATGTTATTGATGTTGGAAATGTGTTGCCCTTTAGCTCCCGTGGTTCAGTGAAATTTAGTGCTGTCAGTTGTGATCAACAAAAGTTGCTTAGTTTCATTAATTGTGGTATTTGGGCTAACTGAAAAAACTGAAGTCTGCATTTTTTTTTTCTGTGTCCTTTTTCATATGATTTTCAAGAAACAAGAGCCCGATGGAGAAAAAGAAAGAGGGATCAGGCTGCTGCACGGAGATCCAAATTGAAGGAGAATGAAGAAGATGCAGTTGAGGAAATAGAGGAGGAGGAGGACGCTGACCTTGACCCTCCTACCCACCTCCAGGAAGGGGAAGATGATCCCCAGCACCACACAGAGATGACCCATATCTCTGGTGAAAGAGAGTGTGAGAAGCTGGTGGATGGAGGTGTCCGAATCTGTGAGTTCCCAGTTGCAATCCGGAGGGAAGTGAGCAGGCCACACTCATCTGTTTTCAGAATTGTGGATGCCGAGAGATCCACACTAAATGGAGGGAGCAGCAGGCATGGGCAAGGTGGAGTGCCCATGTTGGAGAACATTTCACATGGGCAGCGGCAAGTCCTATCAGCTGTGCCCCGTGATAGCCCGATCCTTTCCGGGACTCAGCAAGAGGAGACTGCTAGCGGCAGTGGGGCTGGGTCTTATGTCATTGCTCCTCCCAGGATTGCTGCTGGCAGCGGCATGTGCAAGAAGCTGGGGACTGCAGGCCGCCCTCATTTTCTCCCAGTGCATTCTGGTTTGTTCTATAGCTATAGTTTAAATTTCCGTACTATTATGTTCTCCTTTATGTGTTTTTGTGCTTTATATCAAATTTCTACAATAGAAACTTGGTGGAGTGTAAAATTTTTTTTACTTAAGTCTGAAGTCCTATGATATAAGAAATTGTCATGTTCTATTTGAAATTATCTGGGGGTACTTGGATGTTATAATTAAGAAACACTGATCACTTGGTTTTATGATTGAACATAATAATTGGTGATGTGATAAGCTTTTGTGGAGAGTTAATGTAGTAATTTTCTCATTGTTGCAAACTGTCAAACTTCAGTGAGTGTTATATGCTGAATTAATTCCTTGACATTTCTGTGTCTGAATTCTATTATTTTCATTCAACTTGTGTTAGTTTGGAAGTTATCTTGCATTACTTTTGGCATTCTGAGCAGGAACCATCTAACTAATTTTTCCTCGTTTTGTTGCCTTATAAACAGAGTGGTTTTCACTGCAAGCTGTTCACCGATTGGAGAGACAGGTTGTGCCACACTTTTTCACTGGGAAGTCAGCCGAGCATACCCCAGAAAAGTACATGGCAGCCCGAAACTCCATCGTTGCTCGGTACATGGAGAACCCCGAAAGGGACCTGACAGTTGCTGACTGCCATGGGGTGGCAGCCGATATCGAGGAGGAGGACTTGAGTAGGCTTGTCAGGTTTCTCAATCACTGGGGAATAATCAACTACTGTGCTACCTCACCTAGGCATGAGGCCCAAAGGGATGGGACTTACTTGTGTGAGGATGCAAGTAGTGAACTGCGTGTGCCCTCTGCTGCCTTGAAGTCTATCGATTGTCTGATAAAGTTTGACAGCCCAAAGTGTAGGCTCAAAGCCTCTGATGTTTATCCAGAGTTAGCAAGTCAAGCCGCAGATAAATCGGACTTTGACAATACTATCAGAGAGCATTTGTCTGAGCATCGGTGCAGTTGCTGTTTTCGTTCCATTCCGACAGTCTATTACCAATCTCAAAAAGAGGTAAATGCTCTGTTATAAAACTAATACATGCTTAATATCATTGCTTCTAATACCCTAAAGCTGCTGCATTTTGGACCGATAAATCCCATATAACTAATCTTTACAATTACAGGTTGATGTCCGGTTGTGTTCTGATTGTTTTCACAAGGGAGGATTTGTTCCTGGTCACTCAAGCCTTGATTTTGTGAAGGAAAACTCCATGAAGGATTATGGAGATTCTGATGGGGATAGTTGGAGCGACCAAGAGATATTTGATCTGCTGGAAGGAGTCCAGCTTTACTCCGAAGATTGGAATAAAATTGCTGAGTTTGTTGGATCGAAGTCAAAAGCTCAGTGTATTCTTCAATTTCTCCGTCTTCCTCTTGATGGCGCTCCGTTGGATGATATTGAAGTTCCAAGCACATCTGGATCTTCAAGGAATGATTCGGAACCAAATTCAAATGGTATGTGTTACCCCTCATATTCAGTGGCTGTGTATAGTGAGAATTTCTTTGAATTTCCTTTGTATTCACTCACTGTGGCGCAGGTTCCTCTTCGAAAGATGATAGCGTGGAAAGCAAGTTTCCATTTTCAAGTTCTGGAAATCCGGTGATGCACCTGGTAACGTTTCTTCCTCATTTCTTCCCTTTCAAATACATGCTTTTTTTTTTTTTTTTCTCTCTGAATGTTCTTGTAAATCTCATATGCTGCTGTTTACAGGTTGCATTTCTCGCCTCTGCATTAGGGCCAAGGGTGGCTGCAGCTTGTGCACATGCATCCTTGGCATCATTATCGAAGGACAGCCGGGATGAAAGTCCCAATCCAGAAGAGGGTGCAGTATCGGCTGCAAATGTGAGGGCTGCTGCCGAAGAAGGCCTGGTAGCTGCAGCCTTGAAAGCCAAGCTTTTTGCAGACCATGAGGAGCGGGAAATTCAGCGGTTGTCTGCCAATATTGTTAATCACCAGGTGATATTCCTGTTCTCATTTGATGAACTTATTGTTGGTATTCATAAGCCCTTTACCTGCGCTGTTCCTGTTTTATTTAATTTTTGGGAATTCTCATTGATGTCAGGATTATCTTGTTTTACTTGATTGCATAGTATATTCCATTTGTCCCCTTATTTCTACATTTTATTAATGCCACTGCAGTCTAACCACACAACTTGTATTTTCTCTACTCCTTTTAGCTGAAGAGATTAGAGCTGAAGCTGAAGCAGTTTGCTGAGATTGAGACGCTGCTCATGAGGGAGTGCGAACAGATGGAAAGGGCAAGGCAAAGGATTGCTGCAGAGCGTGCCCTTTTGGCATCATCGCAGTTCGGATACAGTGGGATCCCTCGACCGGTGGGCACGCCAGGCGTCGCTGCTGCAGGAAATAGCAGGCAGCCGCAGCAAGTTCAAGGCTCGCAGCAGCCTTTTATGGGCGGATACGGCAACAACCAGCCGATTCACCCTCACCTTGCCCTGATGCAGCAGCCCGGGGCAGTGGGTCTGGCTGCGAGGATGCCCATGTCGACCCGGCAGCCGTCTCCATCATCAGCTTCCAGCTCGGGAATGTTCAACCCGGCAGCTTCCACCTCGCAGTCTACCCTCGGCCATCCGATGCTCAGGCCTGGTGCGTCTGGTGGAAAGCCGAGCTCAGGGTAAGCCCGGATGTGCATTGATTTGGAGTGAAAGAAGAACATATGATTTTTGAGAGGCATGAGCGAAAGAAGAGAAATTTGTGATAATTTGGAGGAGAATGAACAGGTGATAGATTTATTTGATTTTGGTGAGAAAGAGCGAATAGAATTGATAATATTGTGAGGTGGTTGAGAGAAAGAACAGAAGATGATGGGTAAGAATAGCGATTTTAATTTCTAACATCATCATCGCAATTTTTAATTCTGAGTTTGACTTAGACGACGTGACATGGAATGAAGCATTATTGGTCAGGCATGACTTTTGAAGTTAGAAATTTGATTTGAATAGATGCTTGCAAAATTTTGATTTTAGTTTGTTTGTAGTTCATGTCCAAGATAGTTATCATAAAATTTTACTAAGTTTATAAGAAAATTAGTATGATAATTTTTCACTCATCATAAATTCTATGGGTTTTAATGCTATATATATATATATTGACATGGCTCATCGCAAACGTTATCCGAAAGTGCATACTGGATAAACTCCGGTTGAACTTAATATTCTGCAAATTAGACCCGAAAGACAAGTCACATTAGCCATGTGCATGCATATAATGTTGTGATCAAACCTACAGTTATATATGTAAAAATATTTTATAGCCTTTTTGTTTAGATTTTTTATAAAAATACTATCATAAATATTTATTTAATTGTGTTTTGAAAATTTTTCATTTTTTTTATCTATATATTATAGCATTTAAAAATAATATCAATTTAAATATTCATTTTTTTAAATATAAAATTGTTATTTTAAAAATATAACTGAATATATTATTTTAATTTAATAAAATGAATAAAGTTCATATACAACTAACAATAATTCAACAAGAAGTTTTTATATTATAGATTTGGTGTTATTTTTTATTTTCTTTTACAGTTAGAAATGACTAATCATTAGATATTTATTTTATTTAGGTATTCAATAATTTCAATGTAATTGCTCTTTCCAATTTATATTAATATTTGGAATCAATAATAAGAAATGGTAGATGTTTATAAAATAAACTAAGAAAATTAATTTATTTTTTTTATAAAGCTATGTTTGGTCGACTTCTCATGGAGAGTTTATTTTAGTTAGATTGAAGCCGTGTTTTAAATTTGAATATCTATAGACAATATATGAAAGTGAGTTTTACATATTTATTGCTCTAAGTATAATAAATATGTAGCAATGATCAATAGGTGCATATCAAGATATTAATACGCGCAAGACTTGGGCGCTACCATATGAGAGAAGCAATTATTTTATTTTATTTTTTATAACGTGGAAATTCACAGTTGGACTAAATCTTTGATAAAACCTAATAGCCTACAAATTAGGTACAACAAAACAAAGCACAATTATTTTTTAATTTTGTTTTTTTATGATTTAAGTTCTCCAATAATTTGGTAAACAATTTTCTTAGACTTCTTACCCATTGGGGTGGCTTTGCATGGGCCTTTTGGCTTCATAATAATATACTGTTTAATTGAATACTCAATTTTATTATTTTAAGTGTCTAGAATGAATTTATTAGTTAATTAGATTAAATTATCTCTTTCTTTTTCTCTCTTAACAAATGAATTCTTACATAAAATTCATCACGCATATATTTGTGTTCTACAAAATAGCTTATAAATAACTTCACACACATAGTGTATTCAATATATCATTTTATTTGATAAAGTGCAAAAATATTTATTACCATTGTATATATATTTTTCAATAATAATAATAATAATAATAATAAATAAATAAATAAATAAATACTCTAATCAAATCTTTATGAAATTTATTTCTCCTTTTGCTAACTCCCACAACTCCTGTAATAACTATACACGTTATAGATGAACATTTTAATATTGCGTCAATCATACACATAAGAAAATTTTAAGTTTGAAGGTTATTGATTGAACATCGACTTTTTCCAACAAAGAATATCTATCAAGAATTTGGTTGAGTTCATTTATTTTTTCTTATTTTATTCTTGTTATTAAAATTTTGGTTGCATACAATTGATGATTTGACAATTTGATATGCATGATAGAAATAAAACTATTAAAAGTTTACAACGGATACCAGCTGTTTGATGAAATGAGTAAAGTGAGATTTTTTTTTTTTTTTTTCGTCTATTAATTCATCTAATGTTTACTTTTACCAATCATATCAGTGTCAAATTAGATACACGTATAAAATTCCTTACATATATGAATTAAATCTCTTTGACTATATATATTTACATCTACACTAATCAAAGTGGTTGCATGATAAAAAAAATCATCATTCATTTTGTAATATATGTTATGTGGAACTTCTATTGGTCAAAAATTAAATTGTAATATCCAACAACAATAAGGTCCATACATAAATATGAGAGATAAACTATTATTTTGTATATATATTTACTTTGGCAATATAATACACAATATTTTGTTGATGACAAGCATATTGATAATGTTGGCATTAGTGATATATACAACTTTAGTATACATAGTGATTGTAATTAGATATTGTAAACTGTGTTGCATTCTAAAACCTCATGTATCAATCCTTGAAGAGCTTAATATCGAGTAAATTAAATTATATCCCCTTGTATTTTAGTAAAAATAGACAAAACATCTTATATTGTATTTATTATGTGAAACTCTCTTATAATAATAAAAGAGGTTAAATATTTTAAATAAACTTATTCAAATAAAAAATAATTGATTAATTCTTTATTTTTGATATATATATAATTTCATAAAAATTATATAATATTTTATCCAAAAAATTATTAAATAAATGGTTAATAAATTATTTAATTAATATAAAAATAATATTTAAGATAGTCCATGCCGATAACCCATCTATGCACGAATACAATAAACCTATCTATTACATTTTAAATATCTTCTTGAATCTTAAATGGGCCATGAACACTTGAACTGAACTCCACGAACTCTTCTAGTCCATTTAAATGCTTGGATTTTCATTTAACTAAATAAATTGCACAGTCTATCTATATACAATTGTCTATCTAGAAAAGCAATGAAGGACCTTAACCTTAACCTGGTCTAGTAATATTACAAATCAATAACAATGCAAATCAAAACCCCAAACATTTTCGAAACCGTATTCAAAAAGTAAAAGTTGCAAAAATATAATCTTCAAAATTAGATCCAACTCATTTGTGATTATTTCAAATAATCACAAATAAATTTGATTAGCCGTAGATTTTTAGCCTATGAGAGACAAATAACCTATACTACTCCATATGTGCTTTGTCAATCAGTTTTCTAACTTGTCCAATTCTCAAATCTAAGATCCAATCTCAAACTCAAAACTCACAATTAAAATAAAATGGAAATAAAATGCCCACTAAGAAAACAAATTAATAATTCAATTTAATGTTTAATGCAAAATAAATATTCGGAAAAGTATGACTTTAAGACCAATTGAAAGGTGAAAAGGAACATGGCAGAGGAAACAAACAAACAAAAATAAAATAATAAAATAGCCTCAAGTATCTACTTGACAAATATTCATTTTGCACAAAAAGTAAATATATACATATGTATACAATGTATCCCCTAAGTGATGAGAATAGCTGCACATAAAAATGAAATATTTAGAAGATAAAAATTTCTTTCAACGTTTCTCTCATTGCTAATAGGACTTTCACCAAACCGTTGCATGCCAGGAATGTCAATGGAAATTGGCAAATTATGACGGTTCTCATGTTAGAATATGAAATTAGAATTCTTTATTTCATGATAAGAACATATACATATTTACAATAACATACAAATCTCTTAAATACGAAAAATACCATAATAAATTGTATATTCCAAATATCTTAACACCCTTCTCAAACTCAAGTTAGGATCAAACTAATTTGAGTTTGTCAAAAGAGAGTTTAAAAGTGATGTACCTGGGAACATCTGTTGGATTATACTGTAAAGCAAACTTTTAGTACGCTTTTGTATTATTCAATTTCCTTATTAACTGGAATAAATAAATTGTTATTTCACATTGTGTTGCTTTTATTTATGTTTTATATATATTAGCATGTCCACTTATTTAATATTGTAGACAACATGGTGTGTGGAGATCACACAGAAGATCTTGTTGTCAGTTCTTTATTAAATATAAATGGGTTTCACAACTGAGATGGTTATGGACAAAACCATCGGTTTAAGTTGTAGTGTAAACTTGGAATTAGTTTGTCTTGACTATTAGTTTACAATAATGTGCTGCGTCACATTGAAAGGATCACAGTTGAGATATGTTCTTCTATTCTGACATTGAAGAACCAAGATCTCGGTAACTCTGTTAATTCTTAACCTTAGATGAAATAAATTAAATATATGGAATAAATGTTCGTTGCTTTAATTTACCATAAGTGAGAATCCTTAGTGATTCAATATGCTTCGTATTTTGGGCAACTACATTATTCGCATAGTAATTAATTTATTATCATTAAGGCACCATGTCCTGGACATCCAGGTTGATGACATCCCCTTAAGGAACTCAATAAGGATTATTGTATAAACCCTGCAGGTGGATTTAATCCGTACAATAATAAGTTTTGAGTGGTATTACTTAAGGAATTAAAAGATATTAATTAATTAAATTGTCAGAAGATTTAATTAATTAATGGATGTGGAACATCTTAAACATGGGGAATTAATTAAGTTTAATAGAAGCCCAGATTCAATTTGGGTTGGGCTGGGAGTGCAATATTAATTCTTTAATGGAATGAATTAATATTTTATGATTCGAATTATATTCAGGGCTGAATATAGAGATTTGGATCTATAAGGGAGCCCGAGCCCAACACCTTCTAAAGATCCCCGGTCTGGCCCAATTACCTGTTGGGAGACTTATTAATATGCGGTCTTTGTCAAACCCTAGTGACGTTTTTTTTAAAAGAGGCGAAAACCACAGGTGCAAGCCGTCAGCTCTAGGGTTTCACGAAGAGCAAAATTCGTCTCCCTCCGTTTGATAGATCGCCGCCCATCCGGTGTTCGAGCGGGGTTCGGGAACAGTCTGGAAGGTCTCTAGCGGAATCAACCTGTTCGTGATTGCTGTTGGTGGTTCCAAAAAGGGTACATCTCTAGTTCATTCTTATAGGAGCATGCTTAGGATCGTTTAATACCATGTATGTACGCGTTGGCATCCAACAACGATTCGTGGGAATGAACAGCCCTCACCGGCGTGTTCCTACAATTGGTATCAGAGCATATTAACTGTAAATAGTTGTCCTTGGCGTTAAATTATGGTCATTACTTAGATGTGGATTTTAGATATAACCCCCCAACGGGGTCCCTGTTTTAATTCACATGGCCAGTTC